ATGAATTATTGTAATGATGTTTTGAAAAAATACCACACAAAGTACCTGTTTTCAGAATGATGTCTTTTTCTGTGAAAAGTCACAGTCTTAATTTTGTTAGAGGAAGCTTGAGATTCAGCTGCTGCCACTACCTGTCAGAATCTGGTACCTTTACAAGTAAATGTGGTTCAACACAAACACCTACCAAGAGACACTTTTTGAAACAAGAAAGGATACCCATAGAAAAGAGAGAAACGTACATGTATAGGAAAAAAAAAAGCTCAGTGTTGTTGGATAGGTTGGTGATGGCTAGTGACAGAGTGTGGATATAAGGAGCCTCAAGTGCTGTGTCATTGAAAGAGTGCTTGTTTGTGACCTAGAATAATCAAGAAAAAGCCCTGGCTGAAGACCCAGTGAGACCCTGCACAAGTAGGAAGGAGCCTTGCCCTCACCTGACCTTCCTCATTCAAGGTGTTGGTAACATTACTGAGAGCACAAACGCATGCATACTGCAGCAGACCTTAAGAACTGAAAAAAAAACTTCCCACGAGAGCAGACTATGACTGACACACCAGTGGAGGGGTGTCTGCGATTGCTTTCTCATTCTGGGATTAATCAATCACTCATGGGAAATGTAAATCAAGTAAGAACAGGAAGGGAAAAAAAAAAAAAAAATTATTTTTCTCTACTGCAGCTTGACAGGAAGATACAGCTGGCCAGTTCTTCAATGCCTGTCTGCAAGCAACATGGATGCATGGATTATCACTCTCACCCATGTCTCCTGAGCCTCCCCTCTGGTCGAGGTTTCTCTGGAATGTCCTCACCATGCTCGGGATGTGCTGGGTTGAATCTTGCCTTCCATGGCTGCTGGCACCACAGCTAGCAGGGGGGTCCTTCTTTTAGACCTTCACTTAGCCCCATGCTCAGTCCTCTCAAACCAACTAAACGCCAGTCTGGTACTGGTGATGAGCTCTGCCCAGGTGGTGTCTTGCACCTCCTTGTCCTTGTGTTTATTTAACACTTACATTCCTTCGTTCCCTTCGTTCCCTGTGCTGTGCATTTCCAAAAGTTTGTTGGTGGGTAGTAATGTGCATTTACAGCTCAATGTCAGACAATATAAGGACAGTTTTGCTAATGTATAAACTATGATTGGTAAGACCAAAATGATCCGGTTCAAAATTGGCCTCAGAATACTCCTGAACCAACCTCCGACATTGAGTGACTGTCCCCATATGTCTGCGTTCTGTCTGTTTTCTCCCATTTCGTGGGAGGTTTTTAAATATTCTCTTAGAACAGAAATGTCAATGGAGATACGACCAGATTGAGCAGCATAAGCACAGCGGGTTGTATTTATCAATACACACACGCTACCTTGAGAGATGGCATATCCAATGCCATCTAATTTTGGAGCACTACTTTTGATACTCCTGATGCCTCTTCTTGCAAGGCCAAAACTGCATTGATTGTGGCATTGCCCATTGAACTGCAGTGGCAGATTCAAGTACAATTACACTGTGATTCAGAAATAGGATTCAAGATACGTATGTGTTTTGATCTTTCCACTAGAGGGTCTGGAGGTTGAATGAGCCTGGGTAAAAAATGGGCCAGCCCATGCCATAGAGCATAATGTACTTCTGAATGCGTAAGTAACCATCCCACCGTACAGGTAGGTGCCTGTGCTGCCTGGGCTCTTACAAGCACAATTGTTTACTAAATCCTGCAAGTTCACTGTATCTTTCAGCATATGGTAAGAATGGTGGTTTTGCGGTGAGCAGTTCTTAATTTTGTTATAAGGTATTGAACAATTTGCAGTATAACACAAGAGAAAAAATAAATGCATATTCCCATCTGGACCCAGTGTCTTTACTGACATGCATAATGCTGGAGTTCCACACATAACTGAACATTGTTTCACACCTGTATTCCTTTCCTAGCTCCTGTCCTTTCCTGGAAATATTCAGGCAAGGTGAGGCATTTAGTCTATTGGGAATGTGAGCACGGGGAACATCAGTGACACATAGTGACTCAGGGCTTCACAGGAAGCCCATGCACCAACTGGCTGATTTCTCTCTCCAAGAAGAGTTAGGAGGTGCTTCCAGTGGGACACCTAATGGATGTAATCCCGTCACTCCTTGAGAAGGTGAGTGGGTAAATAACCAGCATTTGAGGAGCTCAAAGCCAGGCTTTGAGCAACCTGCTCTGGTGGGAGGTGTCCCTGTCATGGCAGGGGATTGGAACTGGGTGGTCTGTAAGGTTCCTTCCAACCCAAACCATTCTATGACTCAATGATTCGATGACAATTTAATAATTTTTCCTTCCAGCCTGCTTTTGTTACAGGAAACATCAGAAAGAAACATATAACTGTAAAACACCATTTTCTTGATTCAAGATAACATGAGCCAAAGACTTTAAATTTTAAAATAAATTTTAAAATAAATATTTCACATTAACAAAAAGAGACAGTATATGTTCAGGGTTCTCTTGTTCTAAAAGCAAGACACATGTAAAATTATAAATACAAAGAAAAGTCAAATTATTACAAAAAATAGGATGATGCCTTAGGTGCACTCCAGTACAGTGTAGGCGCTTGGAGTGTTCTCACATAATGTTCATGAGCCTGGAAAACAAAACAAAGAGACTGGTCTTGGGTATTGGGCCTGGGCATGCTTATCAGTCTTGTTATTCCAGACATACACTGAATCAGAATCCCTCTGATCCACGTCTCCCATTGCAGTGGGTGTGGTTTCTGTGTGCCATATTCCTTTCCCCCCAAATATCTCAGTTATTAACTTGCAAATTATTTTCCTTCCATTTCTTCAGTGACTCCTGCCCAGACTTCATAGGAATTGGTGTAAGTCACTTTAGCTTCTGCTTCCAGAGCCATTTAAACAGCTTGCAACTTGGCTAATTGAGCAGATCCCTCAGCTCACGTGATAAGACTTTCATTCCTTGACTGATACGGCAGCATGTGTTCTAGCCACTTATCTGTGAACGACACTCTGTTGTGCTGCTGAGGGTTAAATATGGGGGCTTCCTTTATTGGAGAGTTAGGATCCCGATCTCCTGAACATCTTCATTGAGTTTCCCTTCTTTCAGAGTTCCCTCACCCTGTGCCCTGGGGTAAAGCTTATGGTTGCATGGCCATTTGAGGGCCAACCAGCAGGAAAGGGTTGTCCCTCCAAAGTGGGCTTTAAAATACAGAGGGGTAGTTTTAAATGTTCCTTCCTGTTCTGGCTGACGTTCTCTGTATCCATTAAGGCTAGATATGTTCTAAGCAGCACTTCTCAAACACTCTGTGCTGCCTGCCAGGGCTTTGAACCGAACTCCATGGGCCATTCTCCTTCACCCTGGCTTACCTGCTGTCACAGGCCCCACCATGCTCCTGGATCTCGTACCACGACTGTCAGTGCAAAGGGGTTTCAAGCGTGTAGGGGTCCTAACAACTCATAGGCCATTACTTCTCTAAGCTGCTGAGAGCTTCTCCAGCCTGCTCACACCACTTCTGCTGTACTGATGTCTTCAGCACATCATACAGTAGTTGAGCAAGAGCCCCAGACCTTCCTGAATCCCCACGCACCAGCTGTCTGCTGCAGGGATTTCTGATTGCCTGGGTTGGGCAGGTTGCAAATATCCACTAGGACATCACAGGGTTCTTTTGACTTGCTCCTATCCACCTGATTACTGGGAATTTTATCTCCTTACTGGAGCACAGTTGTTGTTCTGATGGGGTGTCAATCATTAACGCTTGAAAGGGTTGGATGAGGCCCTGGGCAACCTGATCTAGTGGGAGATGTCTCTGCCCATGGCAGGGGGTTGGAACTGGGTGGGCTTTAAGGTCCCTTCCAACCCCAGCCGTTCTCTGATCCCATGAGTCTATGATTAAACTGTGGGTTGTGAGGTTGCATACCTCATACCTCAGCCTGTTGCTACCCCTGCCTAACGCATCCTTGCAGCAGGTGATTAACATGATCCCCAAGACAGTATTAATCCCCCGAATGCCTCAGCCAGCCCGCTCCTGTTGGCGTGGGGCCCAGCGGGAAGCCGGCATCACGCTCGGGGCACTGCCTGGAGCTGCAGTCCTGCTGGCTGGCACGCTGCCCTGCAGCTAGGCCTGGGGCTGGGCTCAGGCCAAGGGACACAAGCCAGGCAGGCTCGTGTAGGCAAAAATCTGCCTCCATGCGGGCTTTCCGAGGGCTTTAGGCTGAAATCTGCCGCCTTCTGTCGGTGCTCTGCAGGCACGTCCCCACCTCACGGCCAATGGAAGGCTAATGAGAGGATCGAGCTGCAGAGGCCTTTTCCACGTGTTCAGTCCTGATGGTCAGTCCCTGGTCTGCAGGTGGCTGCAGATAAGCACGGAGGGGTTTACATTGGAGCTGGCCTGTGGAGTGGAGCAGTTGGCTACTGATTGCTGACTCCAGGCACTTAGCGCAGGGTCTACAAGATACTGGCAGTCAGGCTGAATTGACTGGCTTTTTTTTTGTGTTTGAAATCCCGGATGGCTGTAGAAACATCACCACTAAACGAACTACTGTTACTTTAATACAAGTCTGGAGATGGATATATATATGTGTGTTTATGTATGTATAAGTGTGTGTGCATGTGTGTGTTTTTATAAGTGTCCTCACAAGAGTGTGCTTAACTACATGCACCTGTATTTTAAGGTTTAGATCAGTTTGGAAGGTTTATATGCAGTCAGCCCAAAACAAATCCTGATAGTAAAAATTGAGAATATCGTATTCTAGTTCTCATGGTTAAGTTGCTACACACCATGCTTATTTTCTAAGGAAAATAAGGTAAATGCGAATGCCTTATTGGATGTTACTGTGAGTCTGACAACTGTGATATTTCACTTTCTAGGAAAGGCTTGGTAGAAATTCCTGTGACTGGAATGCAAGGAATTGGTAGTTGCATTTCATTATGCACAAAGCAAATAATAACTGGCCTTGCCAGTGCCACACTGTTATTCATGCCAGTCTCAGCATAGCGGTTATTAGGAAATATGCAGTTGCTGAGGCTGCGTACACACAGAATACACTACGTGACACAAGACGTGACTTCTGCGCAGGGTTTCAGTTTGACGTGTCCCACTTGGAGCAGGCGGTGGTGCAGCATTGCTTACAAGGGGAAATGCAGCAAGAGGAACTCTGAGCTCTGATCTTCTGTTATCAGGACAGCCCCAGCTCATCCCCACTCCTTATCAGTCCTCACAGAGCTCTCTCCTCTGCCGTGCTGAGCCTTCATAAAGCCTGCCTTTTTGTGCTATTGGGGCCAGTCCCACTGGCTTACGTCTTTATGTAAAGAAGCACTTTGATAAATGCTGTTACCTATGCGAACAAAGCAGGCCTAGTTGTGATAGGAACACTGAAGAGAGCCAATGTTGGACCTCATTATTCTGAGCATTCATTTCTTCATCTGCTTTCTCATCTCTGTTGTAATCTGGTGTGGATCTAAGGTACTGTACGGCTTGCTGCGTGCCTGATAAGTTGCACTGCTCTTTGTAGCTCTTAACCCTCTTTGCAACTGGAATCTGTATGTATGTGGTTCCTCTTTGTTCTCAGTGTGTGCAACAGCTTTTTTTAGGCTGATCTTCTGTGGAATTGAGGGTAATATTGTGGCACTAGGACTTCTGAGGTGACTGGAACACAGTAGCTAATTGTAAGCAAATTTAATAGGAGGACAGGTTTTGTGATAAAAGAGGAAAACTGCCTCATGTCCTCTCCTGAGAGAGGGAGAGGCTCTTAGGCATCTGAAATATGTAAAGAGAAGAAGGGAAAGGCAAAACATATCTGCTAAAAAGCCCATTTTATTATAGCTTCACAAATAAACTTTTTTTTTTTTTTTTTCCTTTTGCAGATGATACTTTAACTTTTTTTGTCAACCTAGATAGGTTTGTATTTCTAGACATTGTATTGTTTAAAGAGAATCAGATTTACTTGTAAATGCTACTGCTTACACATTGCATAGCTAAATAATTAAATATTTTAAAATCAGCACTACTAGATTTGTTTGCTTTAGGGGAGATAGTGACTACAGTATCGACTAAATAAGCAATGATTTGGAATTTATCTTGCCTCAGGTATGAGGTTTGCAACAGTTGGTGTTCGCAGTTCTGCTTCTGGTAGTGAACATGTTGGTGCAACTTTATCACCAAACTCCTGTGCTTTGCTTCATGTGCATATTGTTAATCTTTTACTAAAACTTCTGTTCCTTTCATCTCGTGTTAAATGAGCTGTGACTTTCTCTGAGACTGGGACATCCATTCCAGATGTAGAAATCCAAACATGGACTGCTTCATAAGCTGCCTTTTTGAATTATTTTTTGTGTTTTAAGGATGTGGTTTTGCGCAGCTCAAGCAAAGGAACAGTTGAAGCAGAGCCGGATGGTCTTGTACTAGTTGGAAAAGAAGACGACATAAAAAACTCCCAAAGAATAACTGCCAAAGTCAATGGCAGAGAAGTTGTTGTTTTCTACCATGAAGGGAAATTTCATGCTTTGGACTCTCGCTGCTACCGTAAGACATTTGCTTGTTCTTCTTAACATTGCTACAATTAAACATAACATATGCTGAATGAATTAATATTTTATTCTTCCATGTTTCAGATGAAGGAGGCCCTTTAAATCTTGGAGAAATAGAGGTATGTAAGCAAAGTAATATGCATTTGCATAGTCTTTTGAAATCTCAAATGCATTTTCTATGAAAACTTTTGACTGAACATAACATTGAAAGAAAATGATATTTAAGTAAAAATAATGCTTCCTATCACACTTTTTACATTTTTTTTTTTGCTTGGTTTGTTTTTTATTTGTTTGTTTTAATCTTGGGAGACTGAAATGGTGAGATGAGAAATAGAGTGAGAATCTGATTCCCTTTGCTGTGTAAATGCATCCCATAATGGTAGAATATTATGATTAGCAGCAGTATTACAAAAGTTGCAAGGAAAACCTGGTGTCGTTCACTGTTGGGTAAAGGGCTCCAGCACAAACAGATTGCTGGTCCAGTTTGCTACTGTAATATGGTGCTCTTAGGAGCAGAAATTTTTGTTCCTGCCAGAATAGACATGCAGATAGACATGAATCATGAATAGACATGAATCACCAGACATATTTTTTGGCCTGGAGATTCTTAAAGGAGAAGAGTCAGAATACAATTACATAATTTTTCTTTATTTTTTCCTCTTTTCAGGATATTGATGGTCAACCATGTATTGTTTGTCCTTGGCATAAGTACGTAATTACTTTGGAAACAGGAGAAGGATTATATGAAGGAATAAACCCTTTGGAGCCATCACCAACACCTCGGTGGCAGTCAAAAGGAGTAAAACAAAGGATTCACAAAGTTACAGTAAACAATGGAAACGTTTATGTGAGTCCTCCAGATTTGTCTGTAAGCTTTGACTCTGATTATTTTGCTGACAAATACAAAAATAATGGTGATTTAGCTTTGAAAAAAAAAAGCAACTCACAGGCAGCAGAGTAAATTGTAGCTAGAAAAAAAAATGCTGGTGAATGTCCCTATGAAGAATCATTGTAATTAAATAAAAATGTAACATGGCTGTAAAGACTGTTCCAAGATTAAATTCTGATGTTTATATTCTGCATTCAATAATGTGGAAATTAGTAAGATAAGAAGCTCTACTTAGTTGGGGATATGACATGGCCTGTGCCATTGATTTTTTTTTCTCTTGAATTTCAAAAATACTTAAAGCAGAGTGTATATCATACTTTATATCTTATAAATTCTGTATTGCTATAATTATTTTAATTTTCAAGAGGGGATATAGTGTAATTTATTACTTATGAAACATTTATGAAACATTGTTTAAGGAGTCTGGAGTAAAGGTTATGTTTATATATTTAACAGTTTATGCTTACAATGCCTTCTGTATAAATGACAGAGAAAATTGTAACGTTTTAGATATTTGAGCAATCTGTGGATGTTTAAAAATCCAAATCCACATTTTCACAAGGAGGAGGACAACACTTGAGCGTATTTTAATGTGCTTTTTAATGCCCACTTGTGTATTGATACCAGATTCTGTAGTATGTAGTAGCATTTATTCTCCTACTCCTCATTGAACTCTTCTGGTAGTTCATCAAATAATGTGACATATATTTGTCATGTATAACTTGTTCTTCCTGATTCTGTTGTTGGATGAGAAAGAAACTGTTGGGTTAAAAAAAAAAAAAAAAAGACATGCATAGTTCTTGTTTGTTTGTTTTTATTTATTTTCAAAAACAACATTGTATATTCACTATAAAGGGTGTGCTTTCTATTTAGAGCCAAAAGTTAGGTTTCTGCATTTGAGTTCCCTGGATAACATTAGATCTGCCCTGATAACCCTGCTCCCAGCACACCCTGTGTTGTGCTGCATGAAGAGCAGTCTGTGTTCTGGGACTCGGTGGATTTTCTTACCCAGAGCACAGAGCCCATAGACCTTCCCTTCAGTTACAGGAATACTGCGTGAAGGTTAACATCAGCCCCAGGCTCCTGACCTGTCAGTCCATCTAGTAATGTGACTGCAGCCTGCCTGTAATTTTTCAGGGTGCCTCTTCTGTTGATTTGTTGGCTGTTTGCAGAAGTTCTGTCTTACGTGGGTTCAGTTTCAAGCTATTTGGTCTTTACTGTAAGTTTCTCTCATGTGCAGTAGGTTATCTGGCTTTTAGTGTATGGGGAGGATAAGGAAGTCTGTGTCAACATCATTGTTCATGTCAATGTATTTAAAATTAGGGAGGTGTAGGGAACTGTCAGAGAAAGACATTTGTGCCTGATCGATCACAATGAAAGAAGCAGAACACATTCTCAGTTTATGTCACGGTGTGATGGATTCATCCTATTTAAACTTAGGCATCTGCTTCTGGTCATGCCTCCTCATGTTGTTTGCATGGTCAATAGGGGAGCACCTTCAAGGTGCTGTTGATCTGACCTGTGACAGTGTTGTGTTTTAGAAATAGTGCAGCACTGATACATGTTCTTCCTCCTCCTCTCACTGGCCATTAAATCAGGCTGTGCTGACTAGATCAGGTGTAAGCGCTTACCTTCTGTCAGGTCAATCAGAGCTGATCACCTGCTAGAAGCTTCTGTTATTTACTGACCAGTTCTTCGGTCTGGGTTCTGTTGTTGTTGTATTTGCTGTTGGGCTTTTGTGTGTATGCATGTGTTTTCTTTTTTCTATTTTAAAGGAACACATAAACTTCTTATTCTTCTTGAAGTCTGGGTAGTAGGAAGGTGAGGTTGGTGGTACAGTGATACAACTGCTATGCCAAAGGACATGGTAGATACATCACTGTACACTGGCTTGGCCACATGAAGAGGGGACAGAATTTTTCTTCCCTTTCCTCCATTTTTACCCAACTAGTTTCACCTGTGATGAAAATTAAGCATTGGTACCATGTACTATTGAAAGACACACATCATGTAAAAGAAAAATATGTTAAGACCTTCAGATACACTTTCACTGACTTATGTGATTGCTTAGATATTCTTTTTTTTTTTTTTTTTTTTTCCAGTAGAAAGAAATCTTGGATATATTAATGATAACAACTTTTATGGTATTACCAAAGACTAAAAACGTGTAGACCTTAAATGTTCAGATGCAACAGCAAGTAGCTCACAGTCTTGCCTGAGCATTGTTCAAAACTGCAGCCCTGCATTGATTTCCTTTCATTAATCTGTCTCACAAAGAAAAGAGAAATATATTTTGTGCTTTGGCTTGAAAATTTTCATGATGAGCCTGTGAGATGCTCCAGCTCTGTGAGCTACTTTCAAAAGCAGCTTGAATGGAATAAACATTTATTTATTTATTCTATCAGGGATCTAGCAGGGTTTTGATGTTTACACTACCATGACAGAAGTCATAGTAGCTTAAGCCTCAACCTCATGTACCATAAACCTTAATTAGACAGTAGTACCTGTAAGGATGGGTGGCTTAATTTTGAAATGACATACTTTTACAGCTGCAGTTTGGCCCAGAAAAGGAAGAGCAGTGCAGTGGTTGCCTTCCCCTGGCCTGGTTGTATGTCCCACACTGTTCCTAGCACTGCAGTCTCAGCACCCAGGAGAATGCCACCTGTGTCTGAAGTTAAAAAGCTGCAGGTGCTCGAGATGCAGTGCACATCCCAGGAGGTCATGTCACCTTCCACTGCTCACCACATTTTTAATGAGACTCAGCATCCAAAGAAAACCTGAAGCTCAATATCTGTTATGAGATGCAGGTGTTTGTGGCATGGAATTTTCATTGCCAGTTTAGATGCTCCAGCAGGTGCTAAGCTGAAACAATGCCTGATGTTAACCAAAATAATGTAATAATAAATTCTTTGTTATTTTTTTCTGTTGCTTTTTAAATAACTGATTGCTGATCAATGTAAGGACATACATATTAGAGATACCTTAACAGTAGAGAAAAAATACTGGTAATTAAAAATATGTACTTCTCTGTCTTCATCTCTAATCACACTGGGTTTCACTTCTGTAACTTGGACAATGTGATCTTTGACAGCAGTTATCTATTTCTTTGAATGTCTTTTACAAGATTCTTCTTTGCTGACTTGTAAGGATGCTCTTATCCCCTCTGATGCCTTCCTCCTAGCCCAAACCTTTTCTTTCAGGATAACTTGACAAATTCCTGCACTTATTGGTGGATTATGCAGGCTGAGGGATTTCCATTTCTCCATGTATTACCTGCTTTGCATACAGATTTTTTTATTATTATTTTTTTTAACTTTATATTCATATTCTGCCTAGGAAAGGGGAGGGAGGTGGTTCTTGTATGTTGCTGTTTTTCATGCAAATAACTTCAACAACTTGTTCACAGGAGATTTAACTTCTCATATTTTTTTCAGTTGTTATGTAGAAGCCTGGTTTCTTGTCCTAAGAGATGAATGGTATAACATACTAAAGCAAATCCAATTAATAAATCCTACACAGTTCTCCTCTGAGGTAGAGGAAAAGCACAGAGAGCTAGTGTTGGATCCAAAAAGGATCAAAAAAGGGATTTGCCAAGAAGATTGATGATGGGATGTGTTTTGTTTTTTTTTGTTTGTTTGTTTTTGTTTTTGGTTTTGGTTTTTTGTTTTTTTTTTTTGGTCTGGTTTGGTTTGGTTTGGTTTGGTTTTTTTCCCCCCAAAGTCTTTTCAATGAATGGTGGATAGAATGCATTTTTTAAGTTAAGTCCAGAATGGAAAAATTGTTTTTGAGAACAGTCATAACAGTAAAGTATAGTAAGTCAATAATGTTGCCTCATTTGGCTGTTTCTGTTACTTTTCCTCAAACTTTGCCTCATGTGGCCATGAGTAAGAGGATGTAAAGTGAAGTACCTTGGACACAGTTTGGAATCCTATAAACACAACAGCACTGTGCAAAAATGGGTACAACAGAGAAGATTTGGGTTCGGGACTTCAGATCCTTGTACCTGTTCCCCACATAGTAACTCATTTTTATGGGTGTGTTGTATCTGCAGTAATGTTCCTTCCCTTCTAGAACGATCTAGGCTAGAAAAGGCTTTCAAGATCATCAAGCCTGACCATCCACCTGGCCTACTGAGTCCCCGTCACTAAACCATCTACCGTAGTGCCATGTCCACACATCTCTTAAATAGCTGCAGGGACTGGGACTCCATCACCTAACTGGGCAGGCTGCTCCAGTGCTCAACCACAACCTCCTTGAACAAATTCTTCCCATTACCCAACCCAAGCACAGCCTGCCCCACATCGAGAGCCTTTCCTCATGGCCTCTCTCTTGTCACCTGAGAAAAGAGACCGACTGCCTCTGCGCTGCAGCCTCCTTGCAGGGAGGTGGGAAGCGCAATGAGGTCTCCCCTCAGCCTCCTCTTCTCCAGACTAAACAGCCCCAGTCTCCTCAGCTGCTCCTAACTCTTGTTTTCTAAACAAGATGAGTTGTCTAAACTCAGGTGAATTATGAATTTATCCATTAAGGGATCATTACAGCAACATGATACATCTCCTATCTACTTAACATTTGAAGTAGCAATTGTTTTGTCCACTGTATGATCCCAGAGTGAAAAATAAATAAAAATAAAAAGTCAGGTAACTGTTTGCATTTCTCACAATTCACTGATGTTTTAGCATTTCCATACAGCATCTATGTTTGATTAGTGAAGATTTGGCTATGAGGTTGTTAATCTGGACAACTAAGCTTTTCCATGTATCAAACTTGTCTGCAGTAATAATTCCACATTTTTCAAATTTTGACTGTCAATTCCTTGGTGAATAATGCTATCCATATTTTATAGCTGTACAACTGAAGCAGAAATTGAGATTTGGAATGTTTCTGAATTTTGGTCTCTGTAAGTATTCCTTTAGGGAAAAAAAATAATAGTGTAAGTACTGAAAATGAAACAAAATAATACAAAGTGTCACTTTGGAATTTACCCAGTGTTCCTCTATCTCCTCATTACAAAATGGAAACAAGGAAGGATCAAAAAGTCCTTCAAGCCAAGCAAAATAAACCCATTTTCCTTCATGTTCAAAAGAGACAAAGCCAGAGCTGTCCTAAATCCCTCTCCTGCGATTTTAGATAAAGAAAACAACACGTAGTTGCTGCCCTTCCCAAAGGGCAACAGTTTATGATCTTTCACTGTAATGATTAGCTTTTCCATTACTTAAGCAATGACATTTTTAGTGACCTCTTGCATGCACAAGGCTGGTTGCCAGAAAGCTGCTGGGCTTGCCTTGCACCCGGCTCTGCAGCGTTGTGTAGTCAGCACCCCAGGGGGACTGTGTGTGCCTTCACAGACCAAACACAGTGAAATCCATAAATCGGTGAAAAGTTTACATTCAGATGGTTCCTGCTGTAATTGCTAATGGACCTGCTGGAGTGTTGCTGGGAAAGTAGTTACCTGGTAGATCACAGGGGAGGACAGTGTTCTCTCCGGTCCCTCTAACCCCTTTATCAGCATTTGTAGGTGGGAAGGGTGACAGTGAGAATATTAATCTGCTTATTTAGTCAGATGTGTTCCAGCTGAACGAAAGAATACAGCATCATCCCAGAAACCTTGACAAACTCCTAATATTTAACATAAAACAGGCTTCTGCAACTTCATTTCTATGCATCAGGAACAATGTAATTATTAGTAAAGAGTGAATACCACGAACAAGTCAATACCAAGGTCTTTCGCACACCACCCATCTCCAAGCTTCCTTTCAGCCAGTAATACGGAACAATAGGTGGCAGCATGCCAGGCAGCCTACCAGCTTAGGGTGGTTAATTTCAAAGTGGAGGAACTGAGTTTCCAAAACAAGCAGCACGCGTTCTTTGCAAGATCTTTTTTTAAACCAGTAGAATTTCAGAGCACACGCTCCTGAGCATTAACTGCAGCTGCGTCCTTCTGAAAGTCAGGCATGCTGCTTACTCAGCTGAGATGGGATCTTTGTAGAACACTTAATGGTACCTGGTTTACTACTTTTACTATTGGGTTACTCCTTTAGTCTCAGGAGATGGCTTTCTTTTCTTCAGATTAAAAGGAGGTACCATAAGACCTCCATGGTACCTTATTAGGCATATGTATGTATAACCATGGTTATACGTACCTACATGTATGCCTAATACACAAACATACATACATACATATCTATTTCTGTCAACAAAGCTCTAGCTGCTAGGCTATACACCGTGCCATTCATGGTGTATAACAAATATTCTCAACTATTGAGCTCTGTTTTACCTTAATTGCTCTGTGTATGTCTCAAACTGTAACACTATACTATGGAAATTTTTATTGAAAAAAACTTTTTTTTATTGAAAAGCTTACCAAAATTTTCTAGCAAGATCAAATGATAATGATCACCATTATTCCTGGCAAACAAGTCAAAAATTAACATAAACAGTGTATGTTATCTTTAGGTCCAGTCCCATATCTAAAATGACATACTGAGGACCTGTGGTGTTTTTTATTGTTATTGTTCTTGTTTATTTTCTGAGTATGTAAGAACATAGAGATCTTTTATGTGAAACGACATCTTTCTTCAGAGTTGATTTCTAGTAACCACTTTGTACTTGGATGAATAATGACACAGGGAGTCAAGAAATGGAGAAATATGCAGTCAGATATTGCCCGTTAGAATTTTTTTCAAGCAAATTGCCTAAATTTATTTACATATCCTAGCAAGGAAAAATGTCTTTAAGAGTTACTAGAGACTTTTCACATCTAAGATGAATGTAACGCATTTAAGCTGTGATACTGTGCAATAATAATAATAATAATAATAATAATACTGTGCATTGTACATATAGAGACAAGAATATTGTCTTTGTTCGTGGATGACATCCCAACCCCCATCATCACTTTAGGAACAGATTGAGACTGTCTCAGTGCCCACATTTCTTCCTAATCTGGAATCAAAGAGTGAATTAAAACAACGCAAAAAGAGAATGCTGGAAAGTGAGTGTTTGTAGATACAAAAGTTGCTAAATTGGAGCTGCACCATTAGGTGATGACCCAAATGTCTTTTCATCTCTGAACAACTCCCACCTTTTAGGAATATTCATAATAAAGCAATAAAATAGGTGAATTGGATGTAGTTGGCAAAATGTCTTTACTGTGCTTGAGTAATTGCACTTTTACTTGTAAAAAACCTTACTTAAAAGTGTAGAATTATGAAGACAAAAGATACTGTAGCAAAAATAAATAAATAAATAAATAAATAAGCAATCAGATATGTTTGCATTACATGATTCTGCTAGGACTGGGAAAGCTTAAATTACAGTTGAAAATGAATAAAAAAAGAAATAAAAGCACAAGCTCCATTTAAAACAGAGGTATCATTTTAACATGAGTCTACTGGTGCTTCCTTTTTTATAATTAACTTTTCCATTTATAGTATAAATGTTCAGTAATAATGTTCATTAATTATATTTTAATTAAAATATAATAATGTTCATTATTATATTTTAATGTTCATTTTGCCATTATGTTTAATCATCTGGAGTTTAGAAGCAAATTTTTGCTTTCATTTGCACTCTTACCTAAGTGGGCTTCCTTCTAAAACATCAAACGCAATTTTAGGTATATTCAGTCACCTAAGATATTCCTGTACTTCTTCTAACTAACTGTTTGCATTGTAGTGTAACCAGGTGTCTGACACAATTTCCACTTCCAAAGTCATCTGATACTATTGTCCCATTGAGATTAGCTGTGGGACTTCGCATTGTCTTAATAGTTGAAATAACATTATGTTTCATTTTCCCGTATCAAGAAAGAAGTCAAGCATAAATTCACCTCTAGATGCACAAAATGTTTCACAGTAAAGAATTTGAACTGAAATAACTTACCTAAAAAAAAAAAGTAAGAATGCAGAATCTGTCTGAAGGTATGAGAATTTGAATTTCATTACTTACACTGAAGTATAACTCATCAATTTTCTTTAAACTTGTTAAAAATAAAATACTGAAGCTAAGAAGATACTTTTACATTCTAGTATTTTCTTTCAGTATACTAGATTAATAAAGTACCTTTATAATTTTAAGCATCCTCATTACTTGTACCAAAATAAAATGATATTTGTCATTTTACATTCTTTAATTTTGTGAGCAAGTATTTTCAGCTGATATCAACAAGTTTTACTTGTTTAGCCTCATATATGTGTTGTTCATTTAGGTGACTAATTTAGATGTCCAGTTCTGAGAGTCAAGACTATGTAATGGGAACATACATCTCTGTAATCCCTCCTCTTGGCAATTTTTGTAACATGAAGTCTTTTCCTACTCCCTCCATACGAAGGCAATAAATAAAAACAAAATTTTAACTTTTAAAACTTGACATAAAGGCAAGAAAAAAAAACTTTTTTAATTAACAGAAGTCAAACAGACTGTTAATAAAAATAATAAAAATGTTAATAAAGAAGTGTGAGTTGAAAGATAGCACCCTACACTTGGATGTTTTTATGTTGTTGAGGTTTTCCTGTCTTCAGTGGTCAACTATGAAAAGTGCAAATTCAGGTAAATGATCTGTTTCTTTTTTAAAATAAATGGTGAGTCATGATTTGAGATGGATGCAGAATACTATCAAAAGAATTCAAAACATCAAAACCACAGAATAGTTTCTCATCACTATAGTGATGAGAGAGCACTGTAAAATGATCATCAAACCATTACTCATCACTAAAAAATGTCTCAAATATCTGCATATAAACACTTCACTTAGTTTAGATATTCTGCAGCTTATGAAGAGAAGTTTATACTGTGACATACCTAATGGATAGCATTTACCATATAT